CCCTGCCTTCATTAAACTCACTAAGGGGGTGACTGTCAAGTCAGAGAAAGAGAATCTGCACATGTGTGCATGTGTGCAACTTTGGAGAAAAAAAACCCACCACTTTAGTCGTTGCCCTTGTAGGGGTTTTGAAAGTCAGCAGGTATAACAAATGGCATTCTAAAAATAAAGTTTACCTTCATTTCAAAATGAAAAACATTCTCCAACATGAAAACACAGAAGGTGAAGTTTTTACGTCAGTGACTGTGATAAAATCCTTTTTGTCCCTGTAGTTGTGTTTGTTGCTTATTTCAGTGGGATTTCATAGAGGGAACACATTGCTCTAGATGTATAAAAGGCCGGCACAAAATTGCTTGATTAATTGAGGGTATTACCAAAGAAGGCAACACTTGCTGTGCTAGAGGGTAGATAATAGCCTGCCCCAAACAGTCATACACTGAAGAACTGGATGGTGTTTGTACATTAAAGAGATACATCTCAATTCACACCTGAAGCACAATTTATTACTATTTCAAAGGAAAGTTGAGACTTCTCTTCTTTTTAATATTTACTGACCATCAAACACTGTTTCCTGGTTCAGGCCTTGCTTACTTGAAACAAACAGAAACCATATTTTATGCTCACTGTGGTGTTATAGGCCTTATGCTGTCACTGCTCTCAGTAGAACAGTTTCAGAACAGCAGGTATCTGTTTTTTTGTTTAAGTGTCCTTAAAATCTTGTGTACAGTACCTGACCTTCAACAGACATCAGAAGATGTGAATGACTAGCTAGTGAACGTTGTGCAGAACCAAAAGAGTGACTCCTACTGGAATACACAAGGATTAAATATGAAGGAAATGTGATGTCACTGAATACTTCATAAAACAAATATTGCTCATATGCAATGAATGCAGATATGCTTGCTATTCATGTCAGCATGTGTTACCCATTTCCCAGATCACACTGTACATTTAATGAAAACACAAAAATATAGCAACAATTCTATAAGTCTATACCTACAAGACCTTATATTTAAAATGAGAGCCTAAGGGCTACTTTTGGTCTTAACATGATCCTTTTTTACATTAAAACTGTTCTATCAATACTTACATTTGAAAAGGTACTTAAATAGTAAAGTAAACAAGCACCTGAACTCTTATATACATGAAAAGTTTTATTTAGAAGTGGACCTTCCAATGGGGTTTACAAAAGATGACCACAGTACAATGTCAACTCTTATGCTAACTGTATGTTTTCTTATCATCTGTGCAAACTAATGAAAATATTTAAAATAAAAAATAAATAAAAATAATAATAATACAGTTATAAATAATAACTGTAATAATAATTGCAAGAACAACAAAAACAATAATATCTAATCAACTGTAAATGGGAGAAAGCCATTTCTTTTTAAATTCCCCTTTAACAGCATATCTCATGAATTTATATTTTTTAATTGGAACAGAAAGCTCTAATTTGCTGAACTATAAAAAAAAAATTTGTTTAAGAAAAAAAAAAAAAAGTGGACCTTCCAGGTTATTTTTGATTAGCACCATTGCCGTAATAATGTATACGCTTGTAGACGAAGTAATAACTTTATGACTACACACACTGATCAATATTCCATTGATCACCAGAGCATGAGTAATGCACTTTGTGTGAATCAGTTTATGATACTAGATGGAGAAACTGTATTTGTTTATTACACAAAAAGAAGTAGAAAAGCATGAGTGGAATTGTTAGTTGTTAGTCTCTTTAAAGCCAGCTCTCACTAGCCTATTATTTTTACCATGTGTCCATGCATATTTTTACTGATGGAGAATCCCCATCATACATACACTACACTCTCAGCTGCACTCAGTCAGAGAGCACTTGGAGACTCCCCTTTCCTTTTTCTTTTGCAGTACACGTCAGGGTGCTGTTACACGCTTGTGTGGCTAAATGAAGTGCCAAGTGCTGTCTCACTGCTTGAAACCTAAATGGACTGTAATGGTTCAGTTGCACTCACTCCAATTGCAAAACGGGCAGACTGTGTACTTGTGCACAGACACACTAATGGAAACATTAACAGAGCCATACTACACACCCTCCTAGGTACTTTCTTTGCTTGTGTGTTTCCCAGAAATCCCTTGTGTGACTAATCTTGGTCGACTGTAACACAGGTGTTTTGTAAATTTGAAATTTCACTCAATTTTCTGGTACATCATCTCAGCTTCTCTCACTTCCTCATTGCTCTCTTATTCTCTGATTGACAGCTCTTTTTGCGGCTTCGCCCCAATCAGCTAATTGTTCATTTGAATCTAATATAGAACATGATCCACAGGCAGCTTTATCATAAAGGACTCCCTTCAATCCAACCATTGCTGCTCTCTTTTCTATTCAAGTACTTTGATATAGCATTTGAACCACCCATAGATTTCAACAATGAGGCCTCTATTCATGAGAATTGGTGGCTATATCTTTCATATTTAGACAAGTCTTTGAAGGAAGCCCTGTCACTCATACTGACAGATATTGTTTCCCCTTAGTTTGCTCTGTGAATAAAGTATTGAAACCAGAATAGAAGCAGGAGGGATCACTGCTTGTATTGAAATCATTCTGAGAGGTTATCATTTGATGGAGAAGCAGACCCTCAAAATTCAGACAAAAAACAATCCTTGATAGAAACTCAGACGTCTTACTTTGAGGGTTATACCAAATGAAAAAGGATTACCGATATCAATGTTTCTGCTAATAAGACTAAATCCTGGTGTAAGCTGTTTATCTCCTCCCTGCTCTTTTTTATCCTTTTCTCTCCTTTCCTCTCTTCAAGCCAGATGGACACCATTTAACCAGTAACATCTGTTTGCATCTCATCAGGAGAGGTCACATCGCACAACCTCTGATGCTGTTTTTAGGCCACTCAGTGCAATGATGCATGTTTCCCTCTGGCACTTAGATATAAGAGGAAAGTAGACTCCTTGGGAACATTTTGAAATGCCTTTTTGTCTTGAATAGAACATTTTCACTTTTCAGGTGAAAAAGAACAGCTGGTAAAGTATACTTCACCCCAAACATGTGAGGTCCTATATGCAAGTTACAAAAAGTTAAACGCATACTTTCAAATTTGGGAGCCTCTCTTTTATGAAAATTCTTACCTTCAAACTACTGTATGTATTGATGGTGTCTAACCATCAGAGGTACTTATCTATATTAATGAGTATAGTGAGTATTAAGAGAAATCAAGCCAATGCAGATTTTATGTCATTTAAAAAGCAGAACTAAACATTTACAGCCAAAATAAGCTTATTTCTTTATCTGCACAAACTGTGCACAGGGTGAGTTTTTTTAAATAACTAATCCGTTTTTGATTCTTGACCAGGCAAAGAGTAAGTCATAATCAGTGGTGTGGTATTTTGTAGCTGTTAGTCAGGGCGCTTTAGGCCCGCCTCAGCCCCTGTTACAAGCTTGCTCAAAGTCTACTTCAAAATCCAATTGCTGATGTCAATGAGACTTTCTGTGTGAGAAACACAAACTACAGCACACAGATCCTCATGCTCACAGAAACACCGTTAACATATTAAACACAAAGAAAGAGCACGATTAGAGGTCTTGTTTTGTGATTTCTCACATGAAACTCCTGTGATTTTCTCACTTTCATAACCCTGATAGAAGATAGAAGCTGGATGCAGGAGCAAGCTAGCTGAAAAATGTGTTTCAAAAAAACTAATATGCCTGAAAAAACTAATATGCCTGAAAATCTAAGCAGAGCTGGATCCAACAATTTAAGTCTAAACCCTTGAGTCACCTGGATAGTACGTATGCATACTTCAACTCTGAATTTGAATATAGGACATGGTGGTAAAAACTGTTGGATTTACACCAACCCTTGCAACCCTCTAGCTTTTTTGAAAGCTAAATGTAATAAAGGGGGTACTGCCTAAAGATGTCTCCTGTATACATATTTTAAATCAACCAAATAAGGCCTGTTGAGATCTAAATAACATTAATCCTCCAGTGAAGATAAAGGTGAAACTTATTGATAATGTATGGGGAGGAAGTTTTCTGTTTAAGCCAAACTAAACTAACAAAGAGCTTGCAGCCTTTTAAGGCTAATCAGTAAATCATTTTAATCTGATAAATCTGTTCTTGAAAGGGTTTGAGAATTTCAGAATTACGCATTTAATCGAAGCCCTGCTCTCCTCCCTTTATTCTCTTCCATTGTCTTTTGTAATGTTCTCTGTCCTCCAGTTCAATTTGTTTCTTGTGCTGTACTTTTCCCACTAATAAAAGTGGAGTTCCTCTCTCAAACTTTGTGTGTGCGTGACAGAGACAGGTTTGGAAGGAAAGACAGAGGGCATGCATAATTTAGACTGCACGGTTGAAAATTGTGGGGAACTGGACCAGAATTCACTCAAGTCTCCTTCCTCTGCAGCCTTGTCCTTGCAACTGTCCCCCTAAAAAAGGACATTTTTAATGGAATTGACTTGATGATTAAAAGTCAACCGATATTTAAATGCAAAACTAACTGCCAATTTCCACATCCCCACCATGGATGGACCATTCAGCAAGTCTGTTTTCAATGGAGCATGTTGCAAGCACATGTCAAGCTAAACAAAATAGATCAAGTGGGACAGAAGGTAAAGGACTAGTTCCTTGTGATATTTATTTATGAAATGTATTCATTTACATTGTCCTTTCAACCAGTTTAGTGTATGTTCTGGTGTATGCAATATTTAATTCCTATAGTGTGTTTAATGGTTTGTGTGGTACTGCTGTCTGTGAGAATTAATAGAGATATCCTTGATCCTTGTTCTGTATGCACTACCCAGCACCACTCTCCTAAACAAAATGATTTTTTTCACCATGCATCAGACACTCTGTAAGTCATGACGTATTAGGGTCCTTTGGCAAGATACTGAACTCTGAACTTCAGCTGGAGCAGAGCCCACAGTGTGTGAATATGTAAAGATTTGTAAAAGAAGAATGCATGTATGTGAAAGGCTGAATGTTGCATGAAGTGTAAAGCACTTTGAGTTGTGTTGCAGTCTCTAAGTATCTGTAAGTGTTTACCTGCTGTCTAAAAACAATGTCATTGGCTGTGCATTTTAAGTGATCAGCATCAAAATAGAATACTAAATATATCATAAAACCCAGTGGCTGTGCAAAGATAGAAAATAATGTAATAAAAAATAAAAAAAATTGTCCAAAATGAGGATAGTGAAAAAAAGTCAAAACGCAGGAGGAGGACAAACTCTGTGAGCCATTGTGCGTCTGCTCAGCCTGTATGTGCGCGCCCCCGCTGTGTGTGTCTCTCTCTCTAGCAGGCTGGAGGGGCGCAGCATGTTAACATATTTAATAAATATCCCCTTAATATTATTTGGTCGCGGAGGGAACATCAGGTGAGAGTCTGTAATCATCATTTCAGGGAGAGTCAGGGAGCATTCAGCTGAACAGAGTGAAGCAGTAAACTTTTTAAAATATCGCAATATATATTGCAGGAAAGAAAAATAATGCAATGTCATTTTTTCCCAATATCGTGCAGCCCTACTTTGAACAATGCCATGTTTAAAAGCTCATTATCCTTTCTTATCACTGTTTCAGCTAAAGGCCAGAAGGAACTCAGGCTTAACAAGCAGACAGATCCCTACAACTTGATTATGTTCCATTATCTTTATTTTTTCTTATAAAGAATATAGATGTCTCTGTGTATATGTGTGTGTTTATGTGTGTGTGTGTGTGTGTGTGTGTGTGTGTGTGTGTGTGTGTGTGTGTGTGTGTGTGTGTGTGTGTGTGTGTGTGTGTGTGTGTGTGTGTGTGTGTGTGTGTTTGAGAGAGATACAATGAGAAGGGGGGTTTGGGATTGTGGATTCATAAATCATAAGATAATATTTAATTTTCCTTCTCTGTGCTTTTGTCTTCTCAGGACTCAGATTAACTTTACCGTAGCCATTGATTTCACAGCTTCCAACGGTGAGTAAAAAAACCCAACATATACAGACATACTGTCTGAATGTGATCACTTACACACATACATGTTCACTGAAGGACACACAGTGCAGGCACAAAGTGCCTAGATAGCCTTCATTGAAATAGTGTATATGCAAATTAGGATTTAAGTGTTTCCTGATAGCCCTGTCTTTCACAGCTAATACTGAGTGCATAATGGCCATGTTATCCATCTGCCCTTCAGTTTGTTGATGTCTGAGGTTAAGGTGTACTTGAACTTGTCTGGCTTTTGCAAAAAATCTGAATTGACAATGATTGCTAATAGAGTTCTGCAGTTTATTCAAAGCAGTTTCAATAAGCAAAATGAATACCATGTACTGGGATGTAGAATAAATAGCAGTTTGCTATTTTTAACCACTTAACTCAGGTTTTCAAAAACAGAATTTAAAAGCTTATTTGGCTTTTTTGGGATGACGGTAGCATCTTTAAGCTCACACAGTCTTTGACAGTTTAATCACAACATTGTTATCAATAACAGTTATGGCTTAAAGTTTACTTGTTAAACATTTTTTCCCAGTTATTTAAATTACTATGTAATGGCAGTGACACAGGGTGAAATGACGTCAACAAAATCCTGAAAGTCCGGCTGCAATAAGTCATTGTTTTAATCCCTGACAGTCTCAGATTGTTGCTCTTATTTTTTATTTTATTTATTCATCTTTCATCATATACATTTATTACTCGTACTTGTAAATCTAAACTTTTTTAAATCACAACTTTTAAAAAGTATCATTGTCATTTCTGCTTGAAAAAAGGTGAAACAACTCAAATAAGATTTATTTTTGGGCTTTTAATGGAGAGATAGGACAGTGGATAGAGTTGGAAATCAGGGAGAGAGAGGAGCAGGGAATGACATGTGGGAGCCACAGGTGGGATTTGAACCTGGGCCGCCCGCTTGGAGGACTACAGCCTCCATAAGTGGGCCACGTGCACTAACCACTGCACCACCAGCGCCCCGCAATAACTCACCTATTAACTACATTTCTGAGACTGACTTATGTCACTTTGAGGCTGCTAACATGTCACCTCTTCTAAAGTCCTATCATATGACCATGCACTGTCTTCTGACTGTGTGTATATGTTTTCAGGTAACCCTGCCCAGCCCACCTCACTTCACTACATGAGTCCCTACCAGCTGAATGCCTACGCCATGGCCCTGAAGGCAGTTGGAGAAATCATCCAGGACTACGACAGTGATAAGATGTTTCCTGCTCTCGGGTTCGGAGCCAAGCTGCCGCCTGATGGACGAGTGTCCCATGAGTTTGCCTTGGTAAGATCAGGATTGAAGTACAAGGAGGAAATAAAAGAGAATATGTTTGTCAAAGTGTTTTCACCAGTGGTGGTGTAGTGCATTATTGTTGTTTTGTTTATTGCAGAACCGTAAGATGCTTAGCTCATCCACTGACATTAAAAGGTCTCCTATTGCACCTAGTTCTAGATGTATGGTGTATAATACTTAACCATGTCTAATAAAATATGTATTGTCCTCTTTTATTATATTCCAACCCAACTAATAGAATAGCTTTATAATTTAGAACTAGAATGGCTATTCTAAGTTTACTCATTCTGCCAGAATTAAATTGATATTAAATATATACACATATGCTTATGACAGTAGACTAAAAAAAAAAGAAAAGAAAAAAAGGCCCTGGTTAAAGGAGTTTTTTCCATCAGTTTCTACAAAGGCATCTGAAATGAATGTTGCAAGTTTTAAATGATTCTCTTTTCCTAAGTTTTGCTTTTTTTCCTTTTGTTTTTCTGAACGTAGAATGGGAACCCTCAGAACCCTTACTGCGCAGGAATTGAAGGTGTGATGGGAGCCTACTACCAGAGTCTGAAGTCAGTTCAGCTCTATGGACCCACTAACTTCTCCCCCGTCGTCAACCATGTGGCCAGGTTACAAACATCATTTTTATTTTGTTTTTAAACATTTCCTCACTTTCCTTATGTAAATGGACTTGAGCTTATATATTTCTTTTCTAGTCTTCTGACTACTCAAAGTGCTTTTACACCACAGGTCACACCTACACATTCACACACTGATGGTAGAGGTTGCTATGTAGTATCATCCATCAGAAATAACTAATCCATTCATACACCACCACCGAAGCAAGAACACATCGGACATGTTGCCCAGCTGGGGATCGAACCCCTCGACCTTCCAGTTGAGAGGCGACGACTCTACCAACTGAGCCACAGCCGCAGTATCTACCACAGTTATTGATTTCCTAGGTTAATTTTTGAACCAATTTAAGTTATACAACTTAAACAATGTTTTAAGTAGGAGTATCAGCTATCAAAGGTTATATGAGAATTGTCAAATCATGTGAGTATACATACAGTATCACTCTGCAGGTGTTCTCAGGTTTGCTGTAATTAGCTCGATGTACCAAGTGTTGCTTGGGAGCAAGAGTATGAGGGGGAGAGAAATACAGAAACAGAGAAAGTGCCTGACACCTGACTTCATGTTTGTTTGTATCTTTGTGTGTGTGGAAACATAATTTATGAAGCAGGAAATGAATGCATGAATACTTTGTCATAGTTTGATGGAAAGTACACGAGTAAGGAAAAAGGAGACAATGAACATCCCTCACTGTCTTTTTGATCCTATTTTATGGCACATTCTCACAATCAATTACCTGTTTATTTTTGCCATAATGACATTAAAACACTTTGTTTTACTTTTTGGATATAGGATTTTTCACCTTCATTAGCTGAAACTGAAGAGAAATTAAAACAATGCATTAAACAAAGTGGAAAATAACTAGGTGACAATTAGCAAGGCTCAAAGTGCAGCTACAGCACCTCTAAAGCTCACCACTGTTTTATATGTTATTTGTTGAATCTCAGCACAATCCGAACAAAAGAGAAAGGAATATGAAGCTAAAACCAGGAGATTTTAACTTGTCATAAAGACTTGAAAATGAAAAAGAAAAATGTGACGAAAACCAGTGGAATACGCAAAATCCTAACTTAAATAGGACGCCACAGGGATGAGTCCTAAAACCCTGAAGTAATTTAGCATTTGAGCGCCATGGGGTCTAACGTCTAAAAGTCAAACTGTTTTTTTTATTTCCATATTATAGATAATTTACTATAATAAAGACACATTTTTCAGTCATACACGCTCAAGCTAACTTTTTCAATACATTGACATGCATGCATTTATGTAAAAGTGTTTTTGGCAACTTTAAACCTGTGTAGGGTATTTCACTAGGTAACACCTTAATGTTTCCTTTTTTCTCTCTGAAAATAGAAAATGTCTTGCTTCACTCACACTTGCAGCTTGGTAACTGTTTTCTTGTCTCTTTTACTCTTTGCTTGTACCCTTGCTTCTCAATCTTCCTCTACTTGATTTGTTGTGATCCACTGCAGTGAGAGACACTTAAATATCGGTTAACATCAGGTAGGAGAAGGAGCACATACACATTTCAGTGCAAAATGGTGACGCTTAGCAAAGGCCAAAGCCAAATATAAATAAATGTGTGAAGAAATAAAAAGTCAGTTCAAAACTCATTTGGAAGGAAAAGGTCACATTCTAAACTGCTGGAAATATTGAAAGCTGTATTGAGCTGGACATCTATAAATATGGAAGAAAACCAAAAAAGAGATGTACAGAGAGAAATACTTGATACTGATTAAGAGCCTTTGCTGAGATTTAGTCAGAGGTATTTTTTCTGTAAAAGTAAGTCCAAAAGATGTGCAATGGCTTTTCCTATTTAAAAAAAGAGCAAAGAGAATTATGTTTAATATGCTGGAGTAATGAATTATCATGCACATAAATAATAACACTATGGGTTGTGTGTGTTATTGTGTGTGTAGGTATGCAGCTTCAGTGAAGGATGGCTCCCAGTATTTCATACTTCTCATCATCACAGATGGAGTCATCTCAGACATGGCCCAGACCAAGGAATCAATCGTCAACGTAAGTCCACCCACTGCAGCTGTGTGTGTGTGTGTGTGTGTGTGTGTGTGTGTGTGTGTGTGTGTGTGTGTGTGTGTGTGTGTGTGTGTGTGTGTGTGTGTGTGTGTGTGTGTGTGTGTGTGTCTTTGATGTAAACAGTCATATTCAGGTATTTCACTGTCAGGCATCAAATGTTTCCAAAACCAACAGACTTTAAAATGCTTCTTTGAATTACACATAAAGATGGCACAGATTCATGGTGCATAGAAAGTCAGAGACAGAGAAGGTAACAATGGTACAGTAGAATAACGGACTGCCAGACTCATATCAAAAGGGGTTTAACTGAGTTTACTTAGTAGAAGAAGTTGAACTCCACACGGCAATGATCAGACTGCAGTGATCAACGCTGAAGGATCAATTCATTGTTTACATACTCCACATCTCACATATCTAATTCCTTTAAGATCCATGGAAGTGATGTGCTGGTAATGACAGTAAACGTGTTCCTGTACTTTAGGCAGAATATTTTCTCTTTTGCGAAATACTTGAATGGTTGAATGGCTAAAAACAAGAGTTTTTCCAATGTGATGTCATGGCCTCATGTGAAAACTTGTCCTCCCTGTGGCTCAGTGGGTAAGCCCACTGTCATACCCACCAATTTGAAGATATTGGGTTTAATCCCTGAGACTACAAAATCTTTTCACTAACAATGCAGACACCACTTCAGATGTGGTGTAAGTGCTTTCACTTGTCTTTATGCTTAAATCTTACAGTGATTTTATATCTTACAAAAAATAAAATGGGAGAAATATAAGCAATCTTTAATACCTGAAATCCAAGAAACAAAAAGTATTCAAACTTGATAATCTGGTTAATAATTGTACAGTGTTTAAAATACTCATAAATGATACCATAGCTCCACCATGTGGTCAGTTATTAATTGTTGTTTGTTTAAACTTCATAACTCTCTAACTGTTAGCTGTAAGTTAGTAATGAACACACCAGGGTTGACCCCAAAATGTCGATTCTTGAATGATTCATTGAAGAGCTCAGTGGACTCACAGTTGAACACAGTGACCATTCCATTAAGGTAAATGGACTTGAGCTTGTATTGAACTTTTCTCTTCTTCTGACTAGTCAAAGCACTTCTACACCTCTTCACAACCATCAACACACTGCAGAGGTTTCTATGTAAAGTGTCCTCCACATTCACACACCGCCACCGAAGCAGCAGGAGCAACTTGGGGTTAAGTGTCTTGCCTTAAAACACATTGGTTGTGCATTTTAAGTGATCAGTCCTTCCTGTTGACAGACGGCGGACTCTACCACTGAATCTCAATTTTTACATAGATATGCTTGTTTTCTCAGAACAAATCATGACTCATAGCCTATCTAAATATCAACTTATTAATACTTTTAATTTAATTCTGAAAACCTCTCACACTTTGAATACATCTCCTTAGTGTGTACATAAAGAAAACAGGGGAAGGCACCTTCTTTCCACTCATTTGCAGTTATAGGCTGTAAACAGTGTATCCAGGGTTGTAATTGGCCAAATGAGATGTCATTAAAATGGCCAGCAAAACAGTGGAGGTAAATGTGAAGCAATCTGTGGATCTATATTGATGTAATGTTTTTGGATTAAAACTTTCTCTTTGGATCTGTGCCAATGCTGCAGGACCATTTGTTGAAATATGATGATCAGGAGAGTCCAGTAGACCTTCAGACACAGCAAAACGTTTAAGGCACAATTTACACACAGTAAATTGTGCCTTCTGTACTGGATGTGTAATATTATTATAAGGATTGATCAAGTCCTATGATAGATTAAGTATATGGTTCAGTTTTAAATATGTCAAATATTCACAATGTATTTTTTTTAAATGATTTTATTGACTGAAAGTTTGCTCACATATATCAACACGGTAATAAAAACAAAAAATGCTATTAAACACTGGAGGTAGGTTTTTTTTCTTATTGATCAGTGGAAAAATACAATGTCATTATTGTTTTGTTTTAATTCCATCTAAACTCCTAAAGGACTTCTTTTATCATACTATACCTGGGCAAAATCCCGGACAATCTCATGTCAGATGATAAATATCTCTATAAAGTCCTTCTGGTTGCAGTTAAGAAAGCAATCACATGGAAATGGCTGCAGGCAAACCCCCCATCAAAGGATGATTGGTTAGCAATAATCAACGAAATACACTGCATGGAGAGACTGACCTTCTCATTAAGGCTAAAGTTTGACCAATATATAAAAGTCTGGAAGAAATGGAATATGTACTGTACGGAATGTAACTCATCTTAAATGAAAAACCCCGATTTGTGTATTTTTACTAATGTATGGCCCATGTTTTTTTGTTTTTTTATTCCTTTTTCTTCCCTTCTTTTCTTATGTCTTGTTTTACTCTGAAAATGTCAATATAAAGAAAGTATCCGAAAGGACTCATGCACTGCACACCTGATGTCATTAAAGTATGTTAGGGTTCAGTGCCTTAGAGTTAGAGTGGCTTTAGAGTTAAGAGATATGTTAACCTGTGGCTCATATTTATCTTAATAATCGTAATGGGAAGATATTCATGTTTTCACATTTTTTAGTTTGTTTTTCTTCTTTCCTGCAGGCCGCTTGTCTTCCAATGTCAATCATCATTGTTGGAGTGGGGCCTGCTGAATTTGATGGTAAGACAACTTCTAAAAAAAATTCATGAATCCTGTCTCACGAAGGATGAGCTTTATTATTTAACTTTACAAACAACCTGATTTAATTGTCACTCTGTGAGTCCAGTTTTACAATCAGACAACAGTTTATTTTAAATTGTGTATTTTGTTTCTATTTTCCTCAGCCATGGTTGAGTTGGACGGGGATGAAGTCAGAATCTCATCCAGAGGAAGATGTGCTGAAAGAGACATTGTTCAGGTACACAACCAACTAGACACCATTTCTCCAGGTTTCTTAAAGGGATACTTCACCCGTTGAAACATGAATCTGTATTGACATTGGGTCATATATGTAGAAATGTGAAACACATTTTGAAGTTGGTGCCTTCTTGACTGAGAAAAGGCAGAAAGTGTCTTTTTGGCTCATGTTGATGAAAGACACCAAATCCCAGAATGCACCGCAGGCCACTCCCACTAAGGTCCTCTATTTACAGACATATTTACTTCAACACATAAGGCCGTTTCCTCAACTGATTCAGAGATTTCTTCTGTCACCTTGTGTCAGGGGCCGAGGCATAACACCGGCCTGTCGGCAGCAGCCGTCTTGCTGCTATATTGTGGCTCGTAGAGATAGCCACAAACATCCGATTCGAGCACAAGACCTTCAAAATCCCCTTCATCCATATCAGTTTGAAGCTGAAACATCATTTTTTCTACATTGTCATCAGCTTTCTCCATAGAGCCTGTTAGCATAGCTTCCAAGCAATATTAAGTTAAGTTTCGATTCTGGGAGTGAGTTCCCACCCACTGATTTGTGATTGGTCTATAGCTTCAGTGGTCGAAAATATGAGGAACTAGCATTGTAGTTTCACCCTGCTAACCGCAACAGCTTCCAGTGACCCAAAATGACAATTTTTTTGCGTCATCAGAAGCTCCTTTTCAGACTCAGAAATACAAAGATTTCCCATCTCAGGGGAAAATGAGGGCTTATGTTTTCTTCATTGTGCATAATCACAAATGAAATAAAATTACTATCTACTTATAATTATATCCCAGTTAGCCAATTAGCTTTGTAATTATTCAAGATGATAACAAAACTCATTTAGTGACCAGAGGATATTTAAAGTCCATCAGCTCCATATTTCCAACCAAATGACCAACTTTTCAGATAAATTATGATCAGTCTGCATGTTCATTCAACTGGTCCACCCAGACTGACCCATGGTTTTTGTGTCCCTGGTGCCTCAGAGAGTAAGATGGACACACAAATGAAACAAACACATAGCGACTAATAATCGGTTCTGTTGGTACCTCAGTTTTGAGGTCACGGTTCAGTTTCGAATCAGTTTCAGAAGAAAATAAGCAACATAAAGTTCTGGATGCATATTTCTAGGTTTCTCTAGTTTATTTTGAAATAACAGTCATAAAAGTGACAATTTGTTCCAACTAATGTTAATTTATTTAGATTACTCTTGTGACAACTAGTAGTTTAGACTGACCCATTTAAACTGCATATTTTATTGGTTCTCAGGATGTGTTTACTAAAGCTGATCAGGTCTTGGTATAGAAGCTGTCTCTGTGTCTGTCTCCTTTTATTTTGAAGCTTAAAGCTGCTCAATTTCAAATGGCACAGTTACCTCTTGTACATAACGTTGTAATGCAACACATGGATAGCTTTATATAATTGTGAGGTGGGCGGACTCAAGGGTCAAGTCCCCGTCCGCACATTGGAGAACAACACAGACAACATGAAAGATATTGACTGACTTTGTAGCTTCTTTTGAGTCATTTTAGTCAGATACAGACAGAACACACTGGGATTTCTCTATAACTCAACCGTGCCAAAGCAAACCTCTTCCAAGGTTTGGAGAGCTTGAGCACAGATTGACTCCAATCTGTGCTCAAGCTCTCCAAACCTTGGAAGAGGTTTTAACACTAGTTAAACGAAGTGGGCTTTAGGGGTGAAGCGTGCTTGGGCGCTGTACGGATTGCCTCGTGTGAGTGCACACTTAAACAATCAATTTAGGTAATGTGTCCTCTTACTTTGAACATCTGTTTTCAAACCCCTTCCTTTTTAACATGTCTCTGGAATCAATGTTCTTCCCTTTCATTCTTTTAGTTTGTCCCATTCAGGGACTACATCGACCGGACAGGGAACCACATCCTTAGTATGGCACGACTCGCCAAAGACGTCCTGGCAGAGATTCCCGACCAGTTCCTGTCCTATATGAGGACCCGCGGGATTAAGCCCTCACCAGCACCACCTCCCTACACACCTCCCGGCCAACCTCTACAAACCCAAATATGAGGAGCCGGGGTGCAGGTGTAACAGTCAGTGCTCAGCTGAACTTGCAGAATACTTCCATGTCCCTGAAGCTGCTCTACATGCCTCGCTAACGTGGATTCAGGTGGTCTTTGTCATGTTCAAGAGGTTGTCTGTAGAGTGACAGACAGACCCGCGGGAGCCAGGAACAGCCAATGATAGTCTGTTTACTTCCACTGTCAAGCATTCCTGTTACTGTCTGGAAAACAATGTTGGCCTTGGAAACCTAGTGAGACTTTAAAGAGTTTTAAAGGTCTGATGTTGAGTATGGAAGAGAAGAAAGGAGAGTAAAAGTAAGGAAAGAAGAGATGAAGGACAACTGAAAAGAGAATGTCTCCAGACAAAACAATGGAAACACTTGATCATGATGTATATAACTTCTTCTGTCTCTCTCCCACTCACTCATGTTTACAGCAAACAATAACGAGGATTTTTACTCTTGATATGTTTTATATCCACAAAGCTTCTAAATGAAGCTTGTAATATTCTCTCTCTCTCTCTCTCTCTCTCTCTCTCTCTCTCTCTCTCTCTCTCTCTCTCTGTCCTTGACTTGTAGTCAAGTAGCAGCAGTAGGTCCTGGTAGCCCTTCTGTACTGAACTGTATTCTGGTGTTTGTATTAACCTTTAGCATGAGTGTAGCCTCAGTCAAGTGCATGCACATAGAGGCCGTGCACCTCCTCCTCTACTCTTCAGTGTGTCTCTCTGTGGGGGAGGAGCCTGTATCTAGATTTGTCACTTTACCCTCTGTCCGCACCTCTCTCAGGAGTCTGTCTCTCTGTCTCCCTACTACAGCTTTTCTTCCTCACTATCTCACTCTATCTCTCTTTCACTTCTCAAATGCCTTTGCCACATTTCAGATTTTTGTTTCCAGTCAACATTGATTTTTAAGTTGTAATTGACAAGCAGAAATGAAAATACTTGCTGTTATTTTTATGCTCATCTGAATAGATCAGACTTTGATGACAGAATGTGGAGGATAACAAATTAATTTTCTCTGGTCCAATTGACATAATTGCCTTGATAAATAGTTCACATTCACATCAAATCTATTTATTTAATATATTTTTTTATTTATTAAATATTAAATATCCCCATAATTACTATTGATTAATTATCAGAAAACAAATTGGCCTAGTACTTTAATCCTTGACCTCCAAATGTTATGGAGATTTATAAGCCTCATGTATTATTTCTGCTTGCTACAGTAATTAGCAAAGTTAGCATAGATTCATGTAAAGGCCTTGACACACCAAGGAGGCCGTCTGTCCATCGGTGAGCCCCCCGCCCCCCCCTAGTTTTTAGTGTGTCCATCTTCGTCGCTGCCAGTCGGTCCCAGTTGGACTTTTTTTGGGCCGACTCTACATGTTGAATCGGAGGAGCCGGAGCGGTTGGGGGAATCTCTCTGATTGGCTGTTCAGCTAAGCGAAACAGGAGAGCCAGCATACTCAAGGGGCTTTCTTGAACCAGTGTCGAGAGCTGGGGATAAGTGAAACCTCCGAACAGCCAATTGGAGAGATTCCTCTAACAGACCACCGACGCCGATTCGAGATGTTGAATCGGCCCAAAAAAAGAGGACGGGGGCCGCTGGGTAGCAACGGAGACGGAAGCACCGCAAAAACTAAGGCGACGACCGCTCACCGACGTTCCAACTAGGACTGACAGCCGACGACCTCCTTGATGTGTCAGGGTCTTAGTGCTCATGACAAACATTCTACCTGCTGAACATGACCATGTAAGAATACCAGCAGTTAGCTCATCAAGTAGCATTGCTGTGACATTACAGATTACTGGAGCTGCCAGCTTGTCTATCGACTTTTTTATAATCCAAAGAAAATGATTTATTGTATAGCCTACATCAACATCTGCGAACAATTATTTTCCTTTTTAGAAATTAGAAAAAGTGAATTTGCAGAGATGATAAAGTTCTCATCTCCAGTATTTCTTGTATTTATGTAGCATTCATTTGACTTCTCTCTCTCTCTCTTTCTCTCTCTCTTTCCCCCCTAAATGCCTTGGCATAAAGATGCCCTCATACCCAAGGATTTCATCTCATTGTGTCATTTTAACACCACCTCCCTGCAACATGTGTCAAATGATAGCAGCTGCTCTCAAACTAAATACTGTTTGAGCATCAGAGCCCAGTGGTCAAAAATGCAGAAAAGACTTTTGGTATGTTTATTTTTAACTGTAATCAGTGTGTGTTTTATTACACCTTCAGCTTTGATATAGCCTTTTTATTTTGTTGTTGTGATGGATATTTTTATGTACAAATCATTTGCAGGACTATTTGTGTGGTCTCAACAAGATTCAGTGTAGCATTGAATCAATGTTTTTTTTAGAAGAACAAAAACTTTGTGTTTTTATTTAGGAAGGACTGTCCAGTGTTGTAAGGGCTGTGTGTATGATTAGTTCAAATGTTGAATGTGGATGAGATTTTGTATTTTGTTAGAAGTCTACAGGAATATTTGAATTTTATGGATAGTTCGAGAACTACAAATTTGCACCAAAAGAGTGAAAGAGTATTTAAACACTGCAGTGATTTGAGGACACAGTTTTGTTGTTCTAAATTAGTCTTAAACTAGAAGAAACGTGTTTTGATGACAGGAAGCATAGCAAAACTTTGACAAGCATATTTTTGTTTTTCATTTTTCATACTTATTTTGATAAAAGAACAGACAGTTTCTAAGTTTTAACATGGCGACACTGTGTGGGTCTTTTGTGTGTAGTAGACAAACAATTTAGGTGTCATGATTTAAATTATGGTCTTATTAAATAAACATTTATGAACATTTTAAGTAAATACTTCTTTAACTTTCTCAGCTGTTCTAATATTGTTGTTCCCTTGGTACTATAACAATATATACATTTTTTATCAGTTACTAAGAGGCCATTATCCTAAAACTCTCATGTTGAATTAAAAGCAGACTTAAATAAATCAGAAAAAAAAGAAAAGACAAATACTGCTATCACAATTATACAAGACCAACCAAATGTATTTTGTGGACAGCTTATTACAGAGTCAGAGTTTTATATCATAATTGATATTTATATGAAAAATGAAGGTGTCTTATAGCTAGTAACTTGGTTGTGTTGCTCTGACCTCTAAACATATCGGTTCTATTGATTATAAGCAATATCTGTCAACTAAATAAGCCATTTTATTACTGGTTATACAAGACCAAAGCAGAAACCACAGAACTCTTGAGTTTATTAAATAGATAAGGGTGATTGCTTACTTTTGCATTTGTAAGAGGAAGATTTAGACTTTTTTCAAGATCAAAAACTAAACCACCAGAAACGATTTGAAAGTTGAAGAAATGTACTATCTTTATGTTTATGTTATTTTTACATCTCTTTTTAACTTAGTAGCAAATAGTTATCATTGCAGACTTCTTAATGTCATAAACGAAATACAGTGAAATATAATAAAACACTTTAATGTGAAAGTGGGAATCTTAATGTCCTTTCAATTCCACTCTTATACTTCCATAGACCTGAAATTTAAAAAAAAAACAACCTTTAGATTAAATCAGTCTAATTTAAAAGACAGTTTGTGAACCTTGAGCCTAGGATGGTTTTCAAATGTCCAAATATCAGTAAAAACATAAACACATTACTAAAGTCATCACTGGATATTATTCTGCATTTTTGTGTTTATCCTTCTTTTGTCAACTTCCTTTATTCTAGCATTGATGAAAGTGTGTGTGTGTGTGTGTGTGCGTGTGTGTTTTAGTAGACCATGTTGGGTGTTAAGACACATAAGATCTTTGTTTACTAAATCTATCCAAATAATAAAGTGTATGCTCGTCAGATCTTAACTCTGCACTTTGTTTGCATGTACAGTTTTTCAAAGGGTGTTGAAAACTGTGTGTTTTGAAATATAAAAATCTATATGAAAATGAACTGTACAAATGGCCTTAAAACTTATATTCTTGGATTTGTGCAATGCCTTCTTGAGATAAATGAATTAATGCTTATCTATTTTGTGTCAGTGTTTCTACTGCTTTCTAGTGTCTTTCTTTGCATAAATTCAATGATTGAAAAAAATATCTTGTACTTTTTTGAAAATGTGTTGAATCAGTGAAAGCATGGCTGAAGTACTGATTGTGTAATAATACATATGATAGATGACTATTTCTGTATGGAACTATGGATTTTTAAATAAACATTCATACTTAACACAAAATTTGTTCTTTGTTCCCTCAGAGAACGTTCCCTTATCTTTCATTTTATTTTACTTTCTGTACTCTCTCCATTAAAAGTTTATCAGGACTAATAGTCCCGATGATAAGACCAGTACATGAAAGTCTTTCTACACCTTCAACACACCATGACACAGGACCACTAGCTCAGAGCAAGGCCCCTCAACATGAGACATAGATAGATAGATAGATAGATAGATAGATATTTATTAATCCTTTGCAGGAAATTACACAGTCAAAGCAGTAAGACGCCAAACAGAAAAACTAACAAATAACAAAACAACAAAATAGACAAAAACAAAATAAACTAACAAATACCATTTAGACACCATTTAATTCATCTTTAGTGTGCAAAAGTATCCAGTGTGCAAGATTGGGTATTCATAAATGAATAAATAAACATGAGTAAATATGAGTGTGTATTTATTGTGCGTTATTCTCCATTAAACAGTCTGATGCCTCTTCATGACCTCTCTTAACACATCCCACAACTGCTGAGTCATCCAAGTACTTCTGGGGAAAGCAGCTGACGTGTAGAGAGTAAACAGGAATGGAGACAACATGGTGCCTTGTGGGGCCCCTGTACCACAGAGGACTCTTCCAGAGACACATACTGGGGTCTGCAGGAAAGATAATCCATAACCCAAGATACAATTTCTGACCCCACCTGCATCCTCCTCATCTTTTCACCAACAAGCCTTGGAGGTATCGTATTGAAGGCACTCGAGAAGTCGAAAAACATGATCCTAATGTCAGAGGTTTCCAGATGTGCATGGGCTCTCTGTAGCATGTAGATGAGGGCATCATCCACACCAATGTTAGGCTGATGTGCAAACTGAAGAGGATCCATGTATGGAGTCACCATGAGCCTCCAGGGACTTCATCATGTGAGAAGTGAGAGAAACTGGCCGGTAGTCTTTGAAGTTAGTTTGGGTGTCTCTTTTTGGGAACAGGGACAATGCCGGTTGTATTTCCAAACTTCTGGGATCTTCTGAAGGTGCAGGCTCAGATTGAATAAGTGTTTCTGAGGATCTCACACAACTGTTCAGGGCAGGTCCGCAGCAGTCTGGGGCTTTGCCCTGCTTTATTTGATCCAGTTCCCTCTTGACCTGCCATGGTTGGGTGTGTTATGGGTGAGGTTGAGGGTGAGGTAGTGAGAGGAGAGGTTTGAACCACAGGCCTCAGGCAGGGAGGTGTTGTGTTGTCAAATCTGTTAAAGAACAGATTAAGGTCCTCCCCCAGGTCCTGATCTCCTTCGATGAGTGGTCCTCCCTTTTGCTCCATACCCGTGATCTTTTTAATGCCAGCCCATACCTGTTTCACTCTGCTGCAGCTGCTGTTCAGGTTTGTGCCTGAAGGCAGTTTTCCTCACTTTAAGCTCTTTCTGCAGTGTTTTTCTTTTACCCTGTCTCCTTCCCTGAAAGCCCTCTTTTCTGCTTAAGCAGGGATTTTTAGGGCCCTGAGCCTTGGTTTATTATTAGGAAAACATTTAATTTTTACCAAAATGTGTCTTTTACCAGTAAGTATAAAGAAGTAAGACTGTTGAACCCTAACATTTCTACCATTCTTCTGCAGGGGGCTGATATAGTTCAACACTCAGTAGCTCAGAGATAACTCTGCTTTTGTCAGTGTTTTAGTATTTGTAGTTTGAAGCTGCATCAGATTGGATGCCCCCTTCAATTCCCACCATTTCTGGCTGACCCTGATAGCCTGGAAAAGCCAGCGCATTAGAAATTGGTTGGTACATTGGTGCTGCCAACATCAGAACTTCATTTCTGAAAATCATAGAAAACTGTATGAGTTGGTTGTTGTAAAGCCCCTCTTGGTCAATGGATGGACGTGGCTCAGTTGGTAGAGTCGTTACCTCTCAACCAGACGGTAGAGGTCGAGGGTTCAATCCCCAGCTGGGCAACATGTTCGTTGTGTCCTTGGGCAAGACACTTAACCCTGAATTGCTCCCTCTGCTTTAGTGGTGGTGTATGAATGGATTAGTTACTTCTGATGGATGATACTACATAGACACCTCTACCATCAGTGTGTGAATGTGTAGGTGTGACATGCAGTGTAAAATCGCTCTAAAAGCTCAAGTCCATTTACCGTTAACCATGAGGGCTGTGCTTGAGGGCATGAAGCAGAGTGAGGGAAAGGTGGTAATATTACTGTCAATTTACATCTAATGCATGAAGCGCACAAGCGAACTGGGAGAGAGAGAATGTATGATAACTGCAAAAGCCTGTTCACACTACAGACCAGCAAGAAGAACATTAGAAGAAGCAGGAAAAAAACACATCAAGCCACCTAACTTAGGAGAAAATGAACTGAATCAACAACAATAAAAAATCCAGTCAGACGAGTGTTCAAAGGCATCCAGATAGCACATAAAGACATTTGACACACACTGTAATCCAGACTTTTAAAGAAATGCTTCTTAATTGTTTAAATACTTATTCACCAAATGATTATATGGTAATCATTTAACACAAAGGATTTGGATCTTTGTCCTTTAAAATGTCTTGATGTCTTAATGCTTGAGTAAGTCTAATGAACATTGTGGTCTATGTCTGTCAACCAGGGTTGTAATTATGTTCCCCTTTCACTTCCAGACACAGTCTGTATCTTAGCAACCTGCCACCAAGACAGAGCTAAAGTTAGATCTCATTTGAATATTCCCTCAGAAAGCAAAAGAAGAAGAGAAGAAAGAGTCTCAAGAGGTTGGTGCAATACTAAACATGTAGTTGAATATTAAAGTTGGAGTAAGGACACTCCACAAAATCAAAAACTTGTTTATCACATGTTTATCACATCCTCCACGATGCCAGAAAAATTCACAGCCAAATGCTAGAACTGCTTCTTTGAATCTGGGAATGTTGCATAATAACTGTTTGCCATTTAAAAAATATGCTTTGGCCACCAGACCACAGTACGTGAGGCTTCAGGACTGTGAGTCTGACATGGTGGTCTGCAGTATGGTCTCCCCTTTTCTCTTCACCCTGTACACCTCGGACTTCTGTTACAACTCTGGGAGCTGCCACCTGCAGAAGTTCTCCGATGACACAGCCATCGTGGGGTGTGTGTCTAAGGGGAGCGAACAGGAGTACAGGCAGGTCATCATGGACTTTGTCGACTGGAGTGAGCTCAACCACCTTCAGCTCAACGCCAGCAAGACAAAGGAGATGGTGATTGACTTCCGCAGGAAGTCACCCCAGACTGCACCGGTGAACATCCAGGGCTTGGCCATCGAGAGGGTGGAGACGTACAAATACCTGGGTGTTCACCTCAACAACAAACTGGACTGGTCACACAACACCGACGTCCTGTACAAGAAGGGCCAATGTCGACCACCTGCTGAGGCGACTGAGGTCCTTTGGAGTGTGCAGGACTCTGCTACAGACTTTTTATGACACTGTGGTGGCGTCTGCACTTTTCTATGCAGTGGTCTGCTGGGGAGGAGGGAGCACAGAGAGAGACAGGAAGAGACTGAACAGACTGGTCAGGAGGGCCAGTTCTGTCTTGAACTGTCCTCTGGACTCTGTAGAGGAAGTGGGTGAGAGGAGGATGTTAGTGAAGCTGACATCCATCATGGACAACCCCTCTCACCCCCTACATGACACTGTGGGGGCCCTGAGCAGCTCTTTCAGCAGCAGACTCAGACACCCACCCTGCAAGACAGAGCGCTACCGCAGGTCTTTCATTCAATCTGTAGTCAGACTGTTCAAGAGTACTGCCACTGTAATAATGTTCATCCAAAACAATAACACTACACACTGTGTCTTTTTACTAATAACTGTCTTTCCACAAGTGAAAGTGTAAATCCTTTATATACCTAGTACTATTTTATTTCTATTGTATTTCTTTCTTCCTATATTTAATTAACATGTTTTTTTTTTTTTTTTAACTTTTTGCTGATCCCCCAATGGGGGATAAATAAAGTTTTATCTTCTCTTATTAGGACCTGCTCAGTAGATTCAACGATGAAATGAAAAAATATACACAGCATTACTTCTCTCAAACTATCTCTGAAAATCAGAATAACTCCAATTTAACCTTTTTTTTCCTTTTGGTTAATTTAAAGGTATATATTCACACATATTCTCCTCCTTTTTAAGAAGTGAAATCCCATTTGCAAACCGTCTTGCATCCGTCATCCGTCTTTTTCAAACTAGAAATCAGGACCCTGGAAAGTACCAGCACCACGAGTAGAGCCGTGCAGCCCGGACATTCAGGACCAAGGACAGCGGTGGATAACGTCATACTTAACCACTTCTGCCAACACTTGCGCTCAAAAAACTTCTCTTTGAGTTTGTGTTTTAAAAAGAGATTTCTGAGAAGCTTTGAATTGTAAAGAGAAAGATAGAGCCCAAAGTAAGAGAGTGAGTTCAGTTCAAACCAGAAGCAGAGGTTTAGTGTGACTCAAACCTCAACAAAACATCAGGAAGATTAAAAGACAAATGCAACTTTTGAAATCTGTTTTGATTATATTTCATTTATTGATCCATTTTTTTTATATCACATTGAATTTGTGAAGAAATTCCAGGAAGGAGTTTTTAAAATTAGTTGAATCAAAAATCATTCCTAATTTAATTATTTTGGCCGAATTGAATTAACTGTGGGAGAACCAAAGCGCTCGGAGTAAACCCACTTCCCCCCTCACAGTGGGCCTGCAGGATCTCCTCACAGCGGTGGGCTCAGGTCTTGATGTGAACCTTCAGCTCGTTGCTGTAAGGTGGACCCTGAGGTTCCTCTGTGGTCCTGCAGGGACCGTGAGGCTGGTAGCACAGAGAGTAAGAGGGACATGAGGCGGCCCCAGTGTGCCACCCACCCACCCTGACATTGTCCATGATGACTCCTTTAGCCACATCTGAAGATGAACACGAACGGCTTGGCCGTGGTCTTGCACGCGTTCTTGACCTGCTTAACCTTGCTGCTCTGTTTTGGTTTTAACAGGTGCTTCTTTAGAGCTTCAACAACGTCGGGCCGCTGCTGAAGCACCATGCCGCTCCACAGCACCTCTTCATCAACGCCTGTCTTGAGTTCTTTGTACAGCTTCTTGAACGTCTTTTTCATATTGTCTGTGCTGAGATCGAAAGTCATTTTAGAGTCTTTCATCTTTGCCCAGAGCAGCTCAGTCATTGCTGTGATGGTGGATTGGTAGGCCTCACTGGACGGACGGACCGGAGTCTTTTTCAGAATCTGATCCACCAGCCCAGTCACCATAACCTTACAGGTTATCCGGTCCCACGTGTCTCTTCCAATCTCCTCATATGGATTATCCTCTGCTGGCTCCTCAGCTTCATCCCTGATCGATGACATATGAGCGACAGAACATGGACGTGCTGCAGACATGAACATCTCCATTTCAATCTGTCTTAACGCTGAAGTTCGACTCTTTTCCACGACTCCCCCGATCATCATCAGAGCGGCGGTGGCGCTCCTCCTTTCATGCTGCTGTATCTGCCCGTTGAGCCAGTTCAACATCAGCTTCATGAAGGAGTCGACCTTGTTACAGATGAAACCCATCATATAGACTTTTTGTTTTTTTGTCCGGTGATAGCTGGAGGAATATGAATTCAGCCAGGTGCTTCTCTGTTAGCTCGTACTCCCCGTTGGTGATGTCACTGGCCATTCTTCTATAAATGCCCATCACATTGTCCTTCTCATCCTCTCTGATCAGATCCTCCACAAAGCAATCCACGCCGTTAATTAACAGCTTCATGGATGCTTTGTCCTTTATGGGAAGTAATTTGGCAAACTTGTTCCTCAGGATTCTTCAAGAGAACTCCCTCCCCCACTGAGCTCCAATCTTTAGAGAAACATTCAAAATGTAATTTATGAGGAATAATACTGTGGCTTCCTCTTCTTTAACTCAGTCACATGCTGCCAACACTCTTTCCAACTTCAACTTAGTGAATTACAAGATGTGGTAAAGCTGTTTAGATCTGCAACATGCGCTCTACTAAACTGTTAGGAGGTGTCCTTCGTCTTGTTAATGTCTCCCTATCTTCTTGAATCTTCCCCAAAGGTTTACGGTTCTATAGTGTAATTTTGACCCTGTAAGGTTTGATGAAAAGCAAAACAAAGAAGAGGACCCAAGTGATCTGAATATAAACCAAATGTTTTTTACACAAACAAAATTGTACTTTCTTAAAACAAACAAAAGGCCGTCAAAATGGAATAAAAACCACATGAGGAGAAACCAACAGTCACAAGGAAACTTTGGAAGACAGGAGATAAGAACTCAGTTAACTAATGACACAGGACTCTCAGGGCAATCAAAATGGAGGGAAACAAGACAAGAAACTACAAAATAAAACAGGAAACATTAAAGAATAAACTTTGGAAAAAAATAATAAAAAATATATACAAGGGAAACAATTAACAGGAAGGAAGAAAAACACAAAATGATATCCAAACACTGAAATAAACAAAAACTAAACAAGAAATCATGACATACCCAGATGATCATTTTTGGGATTGGTCACCAGTTTACCTTTGGGGAGTCAGTCATGATGCTTCCTCACATTTTAAGGCATATGCGAGCAGGGGGCAGTTTTCTTTAGTTGATAATAAATTAAACTCCAACTGCAGGTTTCCCCTCCCTTTACAAAGAAGCACTCTGCTTATTGAGGTTGTGAATAGATTGAGATGAAGATTATATATTTTGCCTCTACATTTTCTCTGTCTTTAGGGTGTGGCTCATTGTTTCTCTGGCTTCAAATTAAGCGGTACTGAAAGAAAAATCTATTTAAAAAAAATAAAATATTGCATTGGCACATTTGATGTGTACAACAAAAGACTTGTTTATTGAAGAATTGCTTTTTATTTTTCTTATAAAATGTAGAACTTGTGGACAGACCAGTTCACAAAAAAAATCTAATTCTAAATATTCAGACTCTTTAAAAACAGAATCACAAGATGAAGTTATCTGCATATGTTCATACATACAATTCAAACTTCTTCGTTCCTTAAAAACACAGAAAAACATGCCAAGCATTTCACATGAATGTGTGAATACAAACTTTACAAATATATGATGAAAGAATGAAAACACAATATTTTGAAGTATTTCCAAAGGAAACATTTTAAAGCATAATGCTGCAAATACATTCTGTTTCCAGCTGAGTCAAACAAACAAACAAAAACCTAACAGTAAAATAAGCACTTTGGTCTTCCTCCGCGGGCACACTCAAGAACAAGATTAGTTTCAGTGAGCAACATGCTGACTCTTTTACAGATTGTGTCACATTCAAGATGTTTTAATTTGATAACTTCATGTATCATCCATGATTTACTTTTGAGTAATGTGAAAACACTTTTTGAAGTCCAGAGTTATAGTCAGCTTAATCTGCAGCAGACACACACTACATCAAACAGAGTTACAAACAAAAATCTCTCTGACATTGAAATAGACGTCATTTATTTTCTTTAATTTATAATCCGTTTAAAGTGCAAATTTTCACTCGCGTTCAAAAAGTCTTTAGGTTCTGGAGCTTGATATTAGGTAAAATAAAATCATTTCAGTGGCTGATCACTCTTAATATGAACTGACAAAAACATGGTCATGCTGTTGTGAAATGCGGGATGGAGTAATGAGGTCTGGTTTGAAATGTAACAAATACACATATATATATATATATATATATATAGTCCCCGCCTTGTTCCTATCAACCAACTATCAATTACAGCTTTGTTCATGTAACTTTCTAACATTAGTTTAAATGTAGGAGCTGCAGAGGTCAGAGGTCAGGTGTACAATTGTTGGGGTGCTGAGATTAAGAGAACTTACAAAACAAATAGTTTAGAATAACAAATTCCTCAAAACTATTTAAATTTGAGTTGAGATAATACAATGTCACTGCATCTGTAGTTTGATCACAACAACGTTTTGAAGAATTTAGAGCACCTTCTAAAAAAAACTTTAGGTTTTCAAACTTCCCAATTTCTTTGTCTGAAGGAAAACACTATCACCATTTTTTTTTTCTTTGCCAACCTTTTTTTTCAAACTCTCTTAAAATATAAATAACTTAAATGACACAAATTCAAATGAAATCATTCTTGCCTCATCAATACTTTGCCTTCAGATTTCTGAAATGTTGTAAATGCAGCTGAGAACCTAAACCATCACATTTAAAATGATACAATTATGCCTTTAACAATAATACAAACACTTTTTGTAGACAGGTAAAATATAGCATTGTTTTGTGTCAAATAACACAAAAATGAAATAAACTACAATTCAAAAAACCCTAAATAAAAACACTGAGTGGGTAAATAAATAGTTTGTGAATTGCACAAAGTGGGAACGTTGAAATCACTCTGATATGTAGAGGCCGACGTTCCTCTTTCAGTCAGACGAGCATTCAGTGAGTCAGTCAGTCAGAGCGGAGGTCAGCCTCTTTACACTGTTTAATGTCACGATTTGATCTTCCACAGCTGTGAACACAAACACATTCAGGAGTTAAACACACAGCAGTCTGCAGTAAATACTTGGACTCCCTTTGTAGGAATCCAGCTAGGTCTCGCTCTCGGTTCCCTCAAAGCTCAGCCCTTCGAAGATGTCATTGGTCAAAGAAATCACCTTGGTTGAACTCAATAGATTTGTGTGGATGAGTTAGACTTCTGCCGACAGGGCGGAGGTTCACTTAGGAGGTCGAAATCAAATAGATACCTGAGGTCGTTTGTTCCATCAGCTGTTGGGTTTTTAAATAAGCTGTTTGCCTGGAAACTTTTACTATGGACTGTTGGTCTTTGGTCCCTTATCTCACTCACGTCCATCATGGTGATATCCATGGTAGTTATGTTTTATATGTCATTGTGCTGTTTTTTATGGATGTATTGACTGTATGGACCTCTGTTGCAAACCAAATTCCCCCTCGGGGACAATAAAGATTTTCCAAAACTTCCTCATCTCCCTCACTCACTCCCTATGTTAATAACAGGCCTTAGACACCTCTGGATTCGCAGCATTTATCTTTTCTCAAGATGAAACTTTTTGATTTAGTTTAAGTATTTGTAGCACGTTTGATGTTTATTCGGTTGTTTTGGGTTATTGCAGCACGTGTCCTTCATTTGCAGCCTGTTTCAGTCTTTGCCTTTGTTTTTGAGGTAATACAGTTTCAGCCATTGCAGGTGGTTGCTCTAGTTAGCCACCATGCCTTGGGGAGGAGGAAGCTGTGCTGCACAACTCATTTGAAATAGTGCTGCCACTTTGTTAGGAGCTCTGGAGGAGTGACACATCTCCTCTGTTATAAGACAGAAGTGGACAAAACAAAACACACACTCACTTTGAGGTTAAATCCTAACAGGTCAGATATGACTCCTGACACAGCGGACAGGATGACCACCTGGGTGATGTTGTAGAGCAGAGGGTTCATGGTCAAACCGTACAGCCTGAATGGAGTGTCCAACTCCTGCGGAGAGAGTGAGGGATGAAAAACAGATCAAATGAATGTTGAATTCTAATAAAAAAGAGTCCTGACATGCAGATAGACAGTTCTTACCTTCAGTAGTTTAGTAGCCAGTTTTAAGACGTTGTTGACCAGAGTGAGCTCCTCTTTCTTGTTTGGTTTCTTCTCCATCTTCAGATACAGGTTGATCTATGAGAGGGATCAATCTCTGTTTTTGGAACATGTCAGCTGTACAGAGCATTACTCATGTATTCTCCTTTTGTGTCTTTACCTGTTCAGTAAGCAGGATGGAGGTGTTGCTGTACTTCTTGCTGGTCTCTGAGCCTAGAGTGACAAACCGGAGCAAGAACAGAGACAGACTGGAGCACCAGATCACCAGCTCCCAGTTATAGTGACACTCCAGGAACGTCTCATGGACATGGAGCAACTGCACCAAGAGATTATTTTCACATTATTATTAAGTCTATAAACATTAGCTCCAGAATAAATTGTATTCACTTTTGAACATCAGGGCTGTCTTATCTTAAAGCAACAGTGAGTAGGTTTAAAAACATATCTTTGGTAGTTTTGGTCCCTCCAAGAGCAACTATTTCAAAAGACGCTGTATTGTTAATGCAAAAATTAAAAGAAGGTAGCTCTTTTAGCACTTGGCTTATAATGTAATAAAAATGGGCAACAAATAATAAATCCAAAGTTAGGGTGATAAAGTGTTTTAGTATAGCAATGAGCACAAAGTTATATCAATAGTAATTATTTAAAAATGTAGGTTTGCCATTAGATGGAAGAAATATCTGACATTCATATTTTAATCCAAATAAATCACAGACAACATTTTGTTATCAAGGTATCATTTAAAATATTATTTGTTTGATACAAAATAACTTGTTTATTATCAATACAACCACAATGTTATTTAAAGTGTGGAGGTGTTTTTTTCAATAGGAGAAAATCAGGCTAGATTCAATGATATTGTCGTTTTATGTCATTGAAAAATGGTGCAGTTTGATGTTTTCAGATCTTTTTCAGTATGAGCGTATTTTAGTGTCTTCTTTGGTTATGCCACTGAGAGGCGCAAAAATACTTTCAGCTTAAGGCAGTACAAAAATGTAAAAATAAAAGCCTAACAGTTTTTATTTTTAAATGCAATTAATCGTGATTAACTATTGAAATTCAGTGATTAATAGCATATACAATTTGTAATCGTATAAAAGTCCTAGTTCTTTTAAGTTTTCTGATGTTTGCATTTAAAAATGTGTAGAAAAAAGGAAGCTGGACATGCATGTAATCATAACTTTTAGCTTGTCATGGTAGCTCTGATGTGTAGTTATATTTTTATATTTTTCAAGTACCTGTGCACAGCAGATGAAGACGACAGACAAAGTGAGCAGGAAGGCAGAGGACACTATCACATCAACTGAACGCTGAGGACCCCGTCTCTGCAAACAACAACAAGCAGAAACAAGTTAGTTTCTTAATAATTACAGCTGTGAACAACTGTACATTTATAATGACATCACAGACGATTAAAGCTACAAAACTAATCTTACCTTGAGGTAGGAGCGTAGCGACAGCCACATTTTGATGTTCTGAACTTTCTTCAGTCTGAAATGAGGGACCTCAGACTTTCTCGCTCTGCGTGCCGAGGTCAGGTGACCAAACAGCTTTGCAAACAGCAGCCTCTGAAACACACACAGAAGAACATTCAAAAATAAATCTCCACATGGTGCAGTAAAAAGAAGTAGGGATAATCATTTAGATGTTCTTTCTCTCACCTGTTTGTAGGTCCTCTCTGCTACGCTGAGCAGGAAAAAGAAGAGCCATATAAGGCAAACACGCACCAGGAAGCTGAGTGTTACCATGGTGATAACCATGGCATCTGATCCAGACCCGCCTCCCAGGGCTACAGACAGCAGCTCATTGGCTGTTAGCGTGGTCAGCTGATCCACATCTCGGTGCTGAGCCAGTCTGCAGGAAAAACACATAGAAGTCTTTGTTCTTTAAATATATTCAAGCAGGTACGTTCAATCTTCACACATTGAAGAGTTTTGGTATGTCGGCATTACCTGTACACAAAAGGAGTGAGGCCCAGTGTGACTGAAACCAGGTTCCCAAAGACCTGATAACCAATACCAGGGATGTAGAGGTTCACCTGTGCACCAACAGAGCAGTGTGTTTACATCTTCAACGTCTTTGATCATTTTCTGGCAAACCTTGAGAAGTTCATATTCCATCAGTAACTCACTCTGTTCATGATCATGCCGCTGATCTCCAGAACAGACATATCAGCCTTCTTACACTCGTTCCCCTCCCACACTATGGCGCTCACTCTCTCCAGGCCGGGGTTGGAGCTGTGCAGCCAGGGAATGTGACCCTGAGGAAGAAAAAAAAACATTCTTACTTAATCAAGCAGTTCAGAGAAGGTTGGTATGAATCACAACATTTATTTGATTGCCAGGTCACATATTTAAATTGATTTTAGGAATTATATAACTTTCTATTGAAATAAAGTAGGTCATAAAACAAATAAATTGCAGACATTAAAATGATTTGGATATAACCTCCTTTTCAGTGTAGATTGACATACAAACACACTTGAACACAAAATAAAAGGCTTTCTATAACAGTTTTCACAGACCTGATGAAAGGGGTCATCCCTGTATTCCTTTTTAGCAGGGGGACAGACGGGCGTCCCTCCTCCTTCTCCCTCTGGGGGGTGGGGGGAGGGGGGGAGGGGGCAGAGTTAGTTTTGATCCAAACACATAAAATAAGTGACACATATGGTCTACTACTATAGCTTCATACATTTGGTTCTATGCTAAGCCACTATGATCTTCTGACCTGTCTCTGAGGTGCACGATGATCTGCACTCAGCACAATGCAGGAAGTCCTCCCACAGCAGGTCCTCTGTCTCCGACTCGTGTCGAGTGCTCTCTGAGTCCTGAGTCCTCAGACTGGAACACCTGGAGCTGCAGCTGGTGCCGGACTTTGGGATATCCTGAGACACAGAAGGATTATTTTGTGAACAATAAGTGATCACATGTCCTGTTTTCATGGATAAAAGAGCTTTGTGTGTGTTTACCTCCACAGCGTAGTGTTTCTTGTAGTGGTTGGTGTTCTTGCGGTTTCTGAGAATACAGTCACTGTTAATTCTTTCAACTCCCCTACGGGGGGCGCTGTAGGACACTTCAGGGTCTTCCTCACTGGACGCCTCATCTGATGCTGGCTCCTAAAAACACACACTCACATTTAATGACTCTGTCAAGCAGATAGAACAGAAAAATGTTGAAAAATGTTGATAAATGAGACAAATGGACTTGAGCTTATATATCACTTTTCACACCTACACATTCACACACTGATGGTAGTGATCGCTATGTAGTATCATCCATCAGAAGTAACTAATCCATTCATACACCACCACTGAAGCAGAGGGAGCAATTCAGGGTTAAGTGTCTTGCCCAAGGACACAACGGACATGTTGCCCAGCTGGGGATCGAACCCTTGACCTTCCAGTTGAGATACGAGGTCTCTACCCACTGAGCCACAGCCGCCCTACAGTCATAGTGTGTCTGAGTCTTTGTTTGATTGATCACCTTGTTGCCACCTGCCACCATCAGTCCTGTGCTGCAGGGTGTGTGAGTATTGGTGGGCTGGACGTGCGAGCTCCAGCAAACCCCATCAGCTCTGTTCAACGTATCACAGTGCTGCTCGTGGAGCTGAAGCCCCTCCTCACTGCTGCGATTTGTCACCCGGCCGTCCAGCGACACATAGCCGTTGTCTGTCTCTGTGGACTTGTCGATGGACAGCTTGGACTTTTTGGATCTGACAGAGGAAGAGAGGAGCAGGGGAGAAAAGACAGACGGTTCAGAAGGTTCAAAAAGCAGACATACAGAGAAATTAAATTCACTTTCAGGATGCAACACTGTGGAACATTCAAACAAAATAAACACCGACTTTAGAAGGAAAGGATCTGAACTGATAACTCCATACATGAACGCATTAGGTAAAGGGTGGACAAGTTTTTAACAATCTTGATGAAAATAAATTTGTAATCCAAGTTACACAAATTCACCACAAGATGAAATTCTAAACCTACCAAATGTGTATGTGTGCATGTGTAAACAAGTCGATAACAGACAGTATTAATGAATGGATCACTAAGAACGTTGAACTTACAGAGGTAGTGTGGCAGATAATGGATACATGAGCTACATAAATCAGAAATGTTCCACACTGTTATAGTCTGCTGAAACCTGTGGGAAATTTTTTTTGAGGATAAGAAATCTGAAACTTTATCATTTCAATTCTAAAATTTGAATTGCTCCACAGAGATTGAGACTTATTTGTAGACTTAGTTTTCAGAAGAGACCCTCTCCCCATGCTTTTAGAACGTAGCTCGATGAAGTCATGCAAATTTAAGTCAGCTGCAAAATCCAGGCTCCCTCACACAAAACAGTGATCCCAAGGACCACAGAGAGTGCTTAGGTTGTAGTGTTTCAGAATAAAGAACCACTAGCTCTATGGAAAACACATGAGTTCAGTGTTGAGAAGATTGAGTAACATTTTTTTGATTGTTGGTAATTCAAGTGATAACAAAAATCCATCAACCTTGAAGAAATTAATTAATTTTCTGAGGAGATCAAAGTTGTAAGAGGGAGTGATGTTGCAGCTGAAGGTTTGGTCTGAGATCAGGCTGGATTTCAGTTTTTGACTTTTTTAGTCATGACAAAATGCATGATACAAGACAAATTTGAATAATTTAACAAAATGTAAGAATGTGAATTTATGGGTTTTTACCATTCAGAGAATATTTGGATAAAGTCATGAAGTGGACTGAAGCCCAGCCTGTCTTTCCACATTGTCTTAGGAAAATTGAAAACAAAAATACACACCCAGCTTTACAGATATCATGCCAGAAATCTTGGAAGAAAGCGCCCAGGCTGTATGTGGTGCTGGCTGAGTGGGAGTGTGGCGCCCCTTCCTGTGTGTTATCGGTAGTGCTAGACCCGTCGCCTTCCCTATGCACCTCCATCTGAGATGCCTTCCTCAACTTCCTTCAGTTTGGAAAGAATAGAAGGTGGAAAGAGACTTAAAAGAGAAGGCGTGCAGACCAACACGGTTTGAGACTACGCTAGTGTTTGACCTGGCTGAATTTGACCTTTTTAATATGGTTTATAAAATCCATCAATCTTTATTTGTATAGTGCCAATTCATAACTAATGTTATCCTGAGACACTTCACATGAAGCAGGTCAAATATCTTACTCTTTGTAAGCTGGAGTCTAAAAGCAAAAAATAGATATTTAACTAAACTTTTTGCAGGATATGTATTTTAACTATATTTATCAAAATGACCTTTAAATATATGGTTTAAAAGATAGGGTGAATTATCAGTGATATAAATTAAATATGGTTAATGGAAAAACTTAAACGTTTTGTCTTTTTAAACACAGTAAAAAGGTCATATTGCTACATGTACTGAGACACATCTTGTGTGTGTCTATCAGATGAAATATCAATAAGAAAGAAAAGACCGAAAGAGAGATGTGCTCAGAACAAATTCAACTTTGTTCAATAGATGTACCATTTCAATACTTTAAACTGAATTATGACAGAGAACCACGTAGATTTGTTTAATACCTTGCACATTTAAACTTTACCTTTCCAAACCCTATAGCTCCAATACTCTACAGTCTGAACATGTTCTCTGTGTTTGAATCAGCAGCCACACTGAAAAGCTTTAAACCAACATATAAAAACACACACTGCATGAAGCCACTGTCTACTTTCACACACAGTGAGTCCTCTTTGTCTTCAACTGCTAAGATTCAATTAATCATGGAAGATTTGCCTTGGACTTAATTATGAATCAAATCACTTCATAGCTTTAAAAAAACTTACAGTGTTGAGATGAAAACGACTCGAGGTCTGCTTGTGTAGGGTAAAGAGCATGTGATCTTTTTTATTTTAGGAACGATAACATGCTCTCAGAGAGATCAAAAATCTCAAGATTCAGTCACAAATCTGAGAATAATTTGAAACTTGGGGAACATATTTCCATGATAAATTAGCTTCTGTTCAGTTTGTCTTTCAGTGAAAGGACTGAAAGCAAAACAGTGAAGACTGTGCACACAACCCAGCAACACAATGCATAATTGTTTGTTTCAACGGTCTTGTCATCTCCTTTATCTCTTTCTGATTTTTATACTGTAAGGCGGTTTGTTCTCTGATAACTGAATGTTTAAATGTTCTTATTTCTAATGCCTAAATCATCTCATCTCACTGTTATTCACTCTTTATACATGGTTACTATGGTTACCTGCGTCTCTTCCCCCCGCTGCTGGAGGCAGGTTTTGGTGTTCTAGTGGAGACGATCTGACAGTGGACAGTACCCAGCAGCAACATGAGCCAGATGGCCCCAAACACCTCAGTGGCTGGTACTCCATGAGGCTGAGGGATGCTCATGTACAGGACTGCTGCTCCAACTGAGGACGGAGAAATCACTTTCATAAAATAGTATGAACAGAAAAACACAACCGTAGAGTGAAGGGATTTCATTCAATTATTTTCTGTAAATTTTTCAACAATTCCTTTGGAAATTTTCCCAGGAATTTGGGGAACATTTTCTAGGAAATTTCCCTCCAGCTGATTATCATGGGATGTTTTGGATGTTTTTGTCAACCTTTGTCTGGGAATTCTAAGCAAATTCTCCCAGGATATTGGGGAACATTTTACCGTAATTTTCCCTTATGTTGCCATTTAACAGACTTTATTTCACTTTCTAGGAACATTTTTGGGGTATTCGGGAAGCTTTCCAAGGAATGGTCCTGGATGTTGTTTTCTGAAACTATCCTCTGGAATTGTCCTGGGAATTTGGGGACATTTTCAAAGATTCATGAATTTTCCCTGGAACTTTCCTTGGAATTTTTACAGGAATTATTGGATACTTTTACAGGAATGGTCGGAACACACAGATTTTGGGAATTTGCACACATTATTTGAAACTTCCTTTGGGAATTTCCAAAAATCATTACCAGGAATTTTTACAGAAAAGGTTTTACAGGAAAGGTTCTGAAACTATCCCAGGATTCTTTAGTAAACCAACTGGCTGTGTTTTGCTTTCAGAATAGACTTGTAGGAAAAGCTATTCTTCATCTCTTCAACTGTGTTTTTGCAGGAGACTTATTCAATGAGTTCATGTTGAGATGATTTAGCTGCTGAGTTTGAGAGCTTACCTTGTAACAGATAGAGAGCCAGTAGTAAGAGGAAGATGGCTCTGGAAGTGACCTGGATCCACCATCTGTAAAAGAAAGGGAAGAAGACGACCCTGACAATGCCCTTTCTAGTGAGTGATGTCCATGGACTCTCTGGTTTGGCTTTGGCAAAGGCCGAACCTGAAGGGGACAAAAACACACACTTTATGTCAACAAGTTATTAACTTAATACATCCTGAAGACACAATAGAGTTTTTATTTTCTTATCTTAGCAGATTTTCCTCTACATCCCCCCTCTTTCTGTTTCACTTCCTCTGTTCTCTCTTGATTAACTCCCAGCCTTTCTGTAAGGATACATTTGACTGATTGGATGAATAATTGAGAAGTGGCTGAATGTGAGGAGATAAGAGGGTTTGATAGAGACATGAGATGAGAAGGAGTAAGGAAAGGCTGTGACAGGTTGGCACAGCAGCACTGGCATCTCAGGTTGACCATTTATCGTTTTACACTAACTGAGACGGCCTGTGTCATGGTGTTGGCCTGCGCAGAACACCTGTCCAGTTATCTTATGAGTTTTCTCTCACCTCTAACCAAGTCAACGTCTATCAGGTCTGGTTTGACATGTCCCGTCTTCTTTGGCTTGTTCCTAAAGCCCTGCAGGGGGCGACAAAGAAACGCGCGCACACACACACACACACACACACACACACACACACACACACACACACACACACACACACACACACACACACACACACACACACACACACACACACACACACACACACACACACACACACACACACACACACACACACACACACACACACAGAGATTCAGTGTTTGAGGAGTAAACGGTGCATTCAGGCTCACACAGCTACTGGATGTGTTTTCTAAATCACTGCAAAGCCTCTACTCACATCTACATGATTTAACCTTCAGTCCCACACAGAACACATTTCTTTACACTATGATGCATTAACTGGTGTTTTAATGAACAATGAACTAGTTCCAACATACAGTTAATAGTGACAGGCATAATGAGTATTACTTCACACAATAAATGTAGGCCTATTGACCCTAAATTCCCTCATAATTAATCTTCACAATCCAGAAAAAGTGTGTGATGCTCTCTGTCTGTATTTTTTAGTTCTGAAACGATTTTGGACTTGGTGTCAGTCGTTGTGCAGAGCTCACAGCAAACAGTCCACAGGATTGTAATGTATAGAGGGACCTGGTGAGGTCTCTCTTCTCTTATCTCTCTCTGCAATAGAATAACATAACTATTGCATCTTTAAGAGATGATAAATGACGACACAAAGGTCTGTATTTGTGGACTTGAGAAACAGTTATCAGTAGTGTCTGAAGAGCTGCAGGTGTGACAGAGGGCATCAGGCACATGATAGGACAAGAAAACAGGATTTCATCTGGGTGTGAAACATTTTGTGTATTATGTTGTCACATCTGTCTGATAAATATGTTCAAGGGTAAAATTACGTTATTTCATCTGAAAAACCTTTCATAAGCTTTAATTTAGAGAGGGGATATACATCATCTATTATGATAAATAACTGACTTTTCTTGAGTTACAACCCTTTTACTGTGTCAGGGTGTAACAGCAGCAGATACAGTAATACCTAAAACTGTCAAGTACTGAAACCTACACTTCAACACTGCTAAGAGTTATAGGCTTCTTAACTACAGGCTTGATAATATTTGAATTAAATATTGGTTATTTTTTTCTGAAAATGTATTTCTCTAGTGTGTTTTATAAAAGCTTACATTCAAGATTTTTGGTTTATTCAGTAAATTAAGTTTGGAAAAAACTTTAAAATTATTTAAATTCAAGTATTTTAAAATAATTATTTTAGTATGATCACTCAATCCAGTATTTTATAAACACTAATGCAACAAAAATCTCTTAATAGTTCTAAAGATGTCATTTTAATCTAGAGTTACTTTGACATTATAAACAGTAAAGTAAAATAATACACAAAGCCGTCCACTTGAACCTGACTAGTTCAGGCTAATATTTACACACAGGCAAATCAAGTGGGACATTATCAGTCTGTGGTTTGATAAGGAAACATTTGGTAGGCACCCTTATCTCTAAATACCACAACCAAAGAGATAATACGCTTTGTGTGTGAATGTGTGTGAGACAGACAGGAAAGATGTGACACAGTAGACTAGATGGACATAAGTGTGTGTATGTGTGTGTGTCATTACAGAGCTGAGAGAAAGTGATCGATAGCTTCCTGTTAGGAGTAGATTTAGCGCAGCAGTAAAGTCCTTCACGGACCTTCTCTTATCTCTATTGTATTTATAGCTGCCTATTTTTATAAACCAGCTTTTCATCCATCCATGTACGAGTGCAAGTAATTCATTTGAATGTTAAGAGGAAAAGTTTAAAAAAAGCTACCTTTAGCTCTTTACTTGTGTCCTCTTTTAGGCGGATTATGATATTGATTTTCATTTATGTTAATTTTTCTGTTGTACTATTTGTTTTACAACTAAAACTTTGAATATTTAAATGTACTATAGAAATTAAATTTAAACCAAAAACACGACAGAATTTATTGTAGTTTCCCTTTTCCACCAGCAGGTGGCGACTAGTCTTTCTCTGCAGATCTTTGTAGTGTTTTCCTCATATTACAGAGTTAATGTGATGAGCTTACTTTAATTGGGCTCTTAATTCTATAAAAAGTTAACTCAATTTGACCAAATAGTACAAAATAGATGTAATGATAAATCATTTTCCTCCCATTAAGGCTTTCATATCGAACTCTAAACCTAACAGACACAAACATGTAGGATTTTTATTGTTAATTTAATATTTTTTTATTTCTCCTTGCTTTACATGTCATTATGAAGGTTTCTCCTGATCTCCCAGTCATGTAATTCATGTTATTCTGGTAACTTTCCAGGCACTGCAGGGTTTTACCTGCTGGAGTTGTGTGTGTGTATGTGTGTGTGTGTGTGTGTGTGTTTGTGTATAAATATATATATATATTTTCTGTATATTCTTGGTCTGAAACATTACATGTGTTGATAATTCTAATTAAATGTTCATTGGAGCAGCTTCTTGAGTGTGGACTTAATCTTTCTCTGTACAAAGATGACACCTCTCATCACTGTCTCCACTACTTCCTTGTTGGTGGTTTATTGCTTAAATTAATATCATGTATCACACGTATCACAAAAGGCAAGAGTGCAGCGACAGCAAAGGACTTCTTGAATATTTTCACTGTCAGAGCCGTTAAGTTTTCATTAGGATGTTAGTCTCATTCTCTCCTTTACTTTGATCAATTACATTTTTTAAATCAATTTTAACACAATTTGTTGACTTACATTTGTTTTTGATTTTATTTTACCATGTAGGATTCAGCAGCATAAAATATAAGAACTGAAAAATTAAAGGCAAACAAAATCTACCTGACGTTAAGTGTTAAAGCAGGAAGGATTTGGACACAATTTGCACATTTCTGCTTTGAAATATAGACTGTATATCACCCGACCTGATTTTTTTTATTTCTATTCTCAAAGGGAAAACAAAGAAACCAACAGGTCTCAGAGTGCAGCTATGACACAGACACATTTTGTGTTTTGTCTTTTCTCCCTCTTAGTAACAGTTAAAAACATCTTCTAAACCCTACCTAGATGCCACACTGATCACATGCCTCATGCTAATCCAGCTGTGTGTTCACACCAAAGCAACCTGTAGAGGCCACATCTGTCTACAAGTGAACGTTATGAAACAGTTTGTTCCGCAGCCAATCATTTATCAGTGTAGCTACAGTGTGAACACAGAATGGGGTTAATTAACACACCAAATTCTGACACTGCCATCCCAACCAATAAGAGTCTAGCAGTCTACAGCGTGGGTGAGCAGACGTGCACTGTGGGACAACAGGAGGGACGTTCTCACCCCAGCTGTGTACTCACCAGAGAAATAAACTGTAGAGAATGAGGAAAAGATGAATGGAGAAGAAGAGATGGGGGAGGAGAAATGGGCAGGTGACACCCAGCCAGGAGGGCAGAGAGGAAAGAGTTATAACAAAAAAAAACTGGCAGAATGGTGAGAAACAAAACTGAGTGTCAGACAGAAAGGGGAGGAAAAAAAGATAATGCTCAACAAAGAAAGGAGAGAATGAGGAGAGACATTTGAGCACAGTGAAAAAAAAACACAAAAAAGGAAAAAGTGCCGACAGTTAAATAACAGACGCATGAAGGTGTGAAGCAAACAATGGCTGAAACAAACGTACCTTAATTTCTCGCTGCTCCACTGATTTCTCCCAAATCTGCTGGTCATAGGCTCCAATCTATAAAGTAAAATATGATCAGGAAGCAGCCACAAATGTTCACTTTCAAGATTCCTTGCTTTCATCATCTTTCTGCAGAAAGAGGAATGATGATCTGAAGGATTCATTTGTAATTTGTATTTTATTTCAAGGATAGCCACTTGAGATGCATCATCTAATTTTCGAGGGGATTCTTACAAAACATAAATAAGATCATCAGTAATTATAAATCTAAATAATACCAAAACATTTACACACACACACACACACACACACACACACACACACACACACACACACACACACACACACACACACACACACACACACACACACACACACACACACACACACACACACACACTTTGTAGACAGTCCTGACTCAGACATTTACATAGGATATACTTAATGTCTGCTGTATTTTATGTGTAAAATATCGCAGTCTGCCTTTTAGATTATATGACAGTAGATAACATCTTCATGGTCAGAATTGTGATGATTTGGCAAATAGCGATTATAATGCATCATGTTTTTGTTTTAGGGTTTTATAGCTTCAGCTTCATGATTGCAGCTGCCACAATGAGCTTTAACAAGTTTAATTATCACAGTTGCACATGATTTAAAGCATGGTAGTGAACCTTGACAAAGTAAATTAAGATTTCAAAAGTTAGAGGGCATCCTAAGATCTGTAGGAGAACAAAATATATGTAGCTGCAAACTTTGCAATAAGAAATATGCTGTTAATATCCTGTAAACCTTAATCTAACCTAATCCCCTTACATTAGGAGGTCAGAAAGTGATATCTGTGTTAAAGCTCAGTGTGTTCAGCTGTATTTCATTAAAAAAGTAATTAATTGTTTTAACCATGTTTCCCACTTAAATGTACACTATTCAACTTTTTAAAGAAACAGTGACCACAATGTCAGTCATTAATTGGTTTGACAACCACTCATAGACCATTTCATCCTGCTAACTGTGGAGGTTTTTGTTATTTCTGAGACACCAACAACAACCCTCTTCCTACTTCCACATCCACTGTGCAGCTCAGAGGAAGGAAAGGCGCAGATACAACGGTTTTAGAAGTGACAGGAGCCATTTATGATTACGTGATATGTCAGTAAACCTTCTTGTTTGAGCACGGTTGCATTCACATCTCCGAGGACTGTACCTGAGTACTCATGAATCATGCCCGAGACCACCTCTTCAAGAACCAGAATTTGGGTTCAAGCATACTCAGATCCGGGCCCGGGTATCTAGTGTGGGAAAACACCCTTAAACAGAGTCCTGTTGATTTAAACCTTAAATGGGCAGACATAGATAAATATTCTTGAGTATGTATTCATTGCTGTTGTCTATTGTATCTGTGCAAAAATAACACAGTGTCATGATTTTTTCAAAGTATGACCATTTTTTTCCTCTTATTTAGAGGCTGTATCTCCCAGGAGACGCTGCCAATTTAGGGTATAAATTGAACATTTCCCTCCTTCTTTTATAATTTCCTTTACCAACTAGAGGTGGGAGAAAAATCGATTTATGCAAAAATCGAGATTCTTATCTTCTGAGATTTTAAGATTTATTTTTGGGCTTTTTGTGCCTTTAATGGAGAGACACTTGGATAGAGTCGGAAACCAGGGAGAGAGAGTGGTGAACGACATGTGGGAGGGAGGCCACGGGCGGGATGCAAACCCGGGCCGCCCGCTTGAGACGACAGCCTCGGTACATGGGGTACATGTACATCTTCTGAGATTTTAAATCGATTTTTTTTTTTGGCTTATCAGTCACTCCCTACTTATTGCTTAGGTTGGCTCTTTAACTCAGTAGAATGCCAAATGGAGCAGAAAGAAATTCACAGATGTCTCACAGATGAACTGGAGTAGATCCTGAAGTGTTACTTGTTCAAAGAAAACTTTGAATCATGAGTCTAGAATTGTGTTGACTCAAAAATAGATTATCAATCGAATCGAATCGTGAGACACCCTAAGATTCCCAGCCCGCCCCTAGTACCAATATTTAAGACATTTTATACACAATGAATTAGCCTCTTGCGAAAGTTTTAAAAAGCAAAAAAAGTAGTTATCCACATATGTTGTAAATAGTGAGTTACAAATTTAATTTTTGAATAAAATAGTACTTATAGTACTCTAAACAAATATCTTCCTGTTTCTATATTATAATCCCTGTGGGACCCCTTTTCTTACATTTTCAAAAGGTTTTGACCAGTGATGATTCTACACAGCTGAAATGTTATGGAGTCCGTCAATCAAACGTTTACACTGTTAAAATAAGGAGCAAAATAAAGAGTAATCAATATTTCACAGCTTTATATTATGTTTTATTTATGGAGTATAAACCCATAAAACAAACATAAATATGTTAGTGACTGTACCTGTTTTACACCACTACCTGGACAATGTATCCTTCAGGATGCAAACATTTAATACCTCATTAAAGTTGTGAAAATGTAATTTAGCATTTTTCAACAATAATTTATAAAAATGTGCCTTAAAAAAATACATTTTCAAAAAACAAAATCCCACCAAACTCTTACTCTTATACACATGAGAAAGTAACAACACTTAGTTTATGGTTGGTGTCTTTGTCACGGCACTTCTCCGCCATTTTGAAGTTCAATACAAATGATTTGTATCTATTTGAATGTTGACATGACTTGAGTGCTTGACCCGAACCTCCCTTCAGTGTTTCTCATAGTTAGTGCATTCAATGCCCCTCCATCCCACAGCCTGTCAAAGGTCTGAATCCCCCAGGATACAGAAACCATTAAAGGGTTTGGCTAGTTACAATACCGTACATACTCACCAAACCCACACACAAGTTACTCACTAATGCTTCTTTATGTGTACTTTTTTATTGTCGCCTGAGACGCCTGTGAAGGACGCCTGTGAAACTGGTCCAATAAGGTCAGGTTCAACTGGAGAACACACCTCTTATGAAGGTGTTGCCTTAGTCTATGGCTGGTATCAATCAACGTCACACACACATACACAGAAACATGCACAGAGAGGGTGTGACTCTCAGGTCTAAGAAGAGCTATGATAAAGCACAGCGGAGGAATGGACGGAGAAAGCAGTGACAACAAGAGCTGATACAAGGGGAACAAGATAGTTTAGTACTTTCTTTAGACATCTGACCTGAAAACAAACAAACAAAACAAACCCTGTTTATTTTTGTCTTCCTATCTCTACTCACAGATAAAACTGAGCTTTGACTGTTTAAAGTGAGGAGGGACAAAAAGGATATATGGAGATTAAAAGTCTCACAGTTTATTCATACAGGGTGTGTTTTGAGGAGGATCTGCTGATGATGGGACCTCAGCAGGTCAGTGTGTGTACGTGTGAGTGTGAGGCACTGAGTCTGGGTCAACCTGCAGGCTCACCAGTGGAAACTCTGCATCTTTAATGAGACTTCATTAAAGATGGATAGAAAGAGAGGAAGAGGGGGGCAGGGAAAGGAAATAAAGGACATGAAGAAATAAAGAAAAGGTGTAGAGATGTCAGAGAGAATTGTCTTTTATGTTGATTTAGGTTACTCATGAGATCTCTTTGAAGTTTACTCAACAACTTAATAGAAATCACATTATTTAAACAACAGACGTGGATTTTTTTCTTCAAAATGTCTAAATGTATTATTCCTGAGGTTGAGGTTAGACCTCTGGGAAGCTAAAAAAACAAATAATCTCTGAGGACTTGACTTACTTTTCTTACTTTGACCCCTAAGGCATTCGTGTTATGACGCTGCTGCCCACCAGATACCAGCATGACATGTGGGTCATCAAGTGTGTCACATTGTGCTCAGCCCGCGTTACATAGCAATGAACGACCCTGACCTGAAGATGGGTCACTCTGCACAGATGTTGCTACACTTTTGACGTGTATCTCACTTTCAATGCTTTGCTTTCTTTTCAAAATACTTATAGTCAAACTAATGATTCCCAGATTAAAACAAAGCACATCTTTAACTTTGTCTAAAAGTAGATAAGTCCCATTAGGTCATGCAGGTGTATTTAATTTAAACTTTAGGAGAAAAAAATTAGAAAAGACTATCGATTAGAGTTTTTAAATAGATTCAGATTGGATATGCTGTGTCAGTTTAACCTGACACAGCCTACATATAACTTTATCTCCATTTCATAGATGGAAATAGGCTCCTGTGCAGCACTGCAGGATGCCATTCTTCCACTGTCTTGTTGCATACTTTCAGGTCGTAGCGCAGACTGGAATGGATGACAGCAGCAGATACTGACTGGAGCGAGATGCTGCATTCAGGTGCTCCTCGGATAGTCTCAGTTTCACAAGTTGGAAGGTCATTCATCCGACTTCAGTGTGTTAAGAAGTATCTTAACATTAACAAAATCTATTTTGCCCACCATGTTGATGTTGTAATATAATTAGATTTTTGATAATGACCATGTCCTACACAGAATTCACTACAACAGCTGTTCTTTATTTTTGAGAATAACAGCAGAGGCTTATTATGGATCCTTCAACTTCAAATACTTCAATTCAGGTCCTCAGAGGTCTTAACATTAAAACATTTGAATCCCAGAGCTATGGCTGTGGTGTTACTGTGAACTGCACCAAAGGTCAGTTGTCTTTCAAAACTGTCTTCACAGCTTTGCAGCCGTATTGATTCTGTAACATATGCATCGATACATGTATTTGCAAGGAGCACATTATAATACTGTGTTTCCCCTAGGTTTACAGCGTTGGGGGGGTGGGGACAAGCCGACATGCCGACACGGTGACACAACGACACAAACACTTGAAGGAATCTTGGTGTTCATGTGTTACTTTTAATTTTGACAGATGTCCTTTTCTATCGGAAAGGTATCCTTAAATGACTTCTTTCCCTGATTACAGACTCTATCCACTATCCTATCCCTACAATAAAAGCACAAAAAGCCCCAAAATAAATCTTACAAACCTACAGGGGGCCGCCCCCCAATATAATGGTAGGGGAAACACTGATGATATATTGCCATATCGATTTTATGAGCACGGAAA